TTTAATCTTTAAAACTAATAATTTTTTTAAAATTAATTAGGACCAATTAGGACCAATTAGGACTTTTACCAACCCTATCTACATGGGCCTAATCATGAGAGATCATAATTAAGGAATTTGCCTGTTAAAATAATAATGCAAAATTATTAAATAACTTACTAACCCTTAAATTGCATTGTTGGAATTATGAATGATAAATCGGTTTCATCAACTAAAAATACTCTATCATAATAATGCATCGCATAGATGATGAAATCTCGCCCTAAAAAAAACAGTTTAAAAAGGATAATTCAGTAACCACAAACTTTTAACAAAACTTTACTTACTATCGACTAGGATGCCAAACGTCTCAAGATTATTTTGAAGTTGCTTCTCAACATTAATTCCATTGTTGCACAATGTTTGTTCTAGTTGGCTCGTCGCATTACCTTTAAAATTTTATTCCTATCCGCAATCATCTTGACATGATCTTCAACAATAGCATTTCCTACAACCTTAAGAATACCAATATATTCTTCGACGCCATTAATGTTAACTGTAAGGATTCCGTCATGATACCAACCTGTTTGTCAAATATCTTCAGGAAGTTACGATAAATTCTTTTGACTTTTTCGATGCATATTTTCAACTTCACCACTATTTTGAAATAGTTGAAATATAATGTTTATATACTACTAAGATATGAAGAAAATTTACTTACGTTGATAAACGGATAAGAGAATTAATGTCCAGAAAAAGATCCTACAATAATAAATTCACAAAACAATCTCGATATTGATATTCGCTACTTGATTTATCATTTAGAACAAACATGTCTTGAAAGCTGAAAACATATTAAACTACCAATGCCAAAGGTTTAATAATGATAAAACTATAAACAGTAAAAAAAGAATAAATAGTAAAAAAGGCACTTACAATTTACGATAAAAACTATTCACCCAGTCCTCCAACCAGTCTCTTCGAAATTTGTATCCATCTTGATAACTATAATTAATAAATACAGAATCAAGTTCAACATATGCTCCATCTGTTGCATTCTCCAAAGCTTCCCGATATTTATTAAGAACATTTTCAACTTTCTTTAATGGAGATAAAACCTTCAAAGTAATCTCTTCTTCTGCCTAATCATAAAGCGTATTTTACCATTACTTTGTACACAAATCATATATAATATCAATCTCTGACCTTATTAAAAAAATTTTCGAAGGTTTGCCATCCTTCTTCGAACATAGCACGTAGAAGATCATTTTTATTACATTCGGGAAGGATTATGATATTATATCTCACAAATCCTTTACTGACTTTAACAAGTTTTTTTGCTAATATATCACTGGTAACCTGTGAAGAACTTGTCAATAATAAATTCTATGCGGATTGTAGGTAACAAATCAACAAACTTCTGCAAATCGTAAAATTTCAACATTTTCAACTCTGACGCACTATCAATTGACACATCATCTTCATCTAAAGATGGAGCCAAGTGCGAGTTATTAGAGGGATCCAAAGCTTCCTTTGTAAGTACTCCATGAGTTTTGCGTATTTTCATGCTGTATCATAAACAATAAAATAAAGGTAAGTCAAGTTAATAGTATTGATAACATATAAACAACATAGATTTAGTTTAAAATCACATTTTGTCGACTACGTTTTTCACTTAACCTTATTTTATCATTGCCATCATGCAATCGTTTTTTTCCGCTTGTTACTTTTCGAAAATACTTAGAGATACCATTTGGGAAGAGAATAGGCTTTCAGAAATCTGTAGGTTAAGGTACTGTTCATAGAATTCTTCATACATATCCTTACATCCAGGATAAAATTACCACTGTACTTGTACTGTACTTGTACTAATTTTATATTAATTATTATAATGTACTAACTGTACTAACTGTACTAGTCATTGTACTTAACATTGTACTTCCCAACCCTGCTTACAGACTTCCAGGATAATAGAGCCTTCGAAAATGTCATTAATTTCTAAAGTAAGAATGTACACCTTTCATAATTAGGCGATACAAAATTTAAATGTGTGCTTGAGTTCAATGTTGCAGTCATCGTTCATACAAAAAAGGATAAAGATTGCTTTTAAGTAAATTTGGTAAATTTGATTCATTATATGGGAATAAGATTTTATAAAGAACGTAATTCGTGTAAAGATAAGCCATTTAACACAGTATCGCCCAAAGTATATAAGTAATTTTCCACCCCACATGTCCGTAACATTTAAGAGGGAGTGAAACAAAAATTTTTTAGTGGTGACATAGTAAAAATGAAATTAGGGAGGCATGACATGGGATGACAAATAGTGCATATCACGTGAAGTGGAAATTCTTGAGGTAAGATAATTTATCACCCTGTATTACACCTCTTTGGTTTCATTTTTACTACTAAAAAATTTTATTTCACCCCTATATGACCAACTTGTCAATTATTCTTAAAAATAAAGAATAAAACTTTAGACACAAATGTTATATATTTTTTAAACTTTATGTATTATGTATATTTTTATCTACTCTACAAGTTTTTTTTTGTTATTAAATATGGTATCTATTGATTCATGCTAACAATCCTATTAATGAGAAAGAAGCTCACCTAATATATCCCTGTTGCTCTATTTCAAGCCTATTTGAATTAACCAATCACCAGCTCTAATAATAATCATACTTTGAAAGACCTCCTTACATAATAGAAGCTATGAAGCTAAATAAAGAATATCTTAGTATTGTTAGATATCAGTTATGTACTAGTAGATAGGGAGTCAAACAAAATCCTAAGTTTTACCAAGGTTTAATCAGAAAATGGAACAAGTTTTTATTATACTGTCAAATAATCTGAAAATTAAACCCAGCTTCTAACTCTAGTATAATCTAAATATTACAGTAAAAGAAGACAGTTTGATATCAGCCACTTGTAATCAATGATTATCTACCTTTTAAGTATTATAGTCACATATTATACAATATTTACCACTAGTTATACCCTCACAGGTATTCTTTATAGCACTTGTTTATTATAGACTAACCCCAACTATAGATTCTAAATTCAATTGGTTTACTATAATGATTTATACCTATTACCCTTATCTGTTATTAAGAAATATAGATTTAGATAAAGCGAACTTACACCAAGTAGTATCTTTATATATTAAATCTAATAATAGCTACTAGGGTTCCTCAAAATTGAATTGAATCAAATATTTAAGCAATTTAAATTTGATTTGATTTTTTCAAATTGAATCAAATCAAATCAAATTGAACTCAAATATTTGATCGAATCAATTTGAATCAATTTGAATTTGATCGAAT